AAAAAATAATTTTGGTAGATCTCTGAATGGTGGCTTTACGCCATAAATCCAAAACAGATCTTTAAGTCTAAAGTTTACCTCTATGGAGCGAAATGATGGAATTTCTGCAGACTTAATGGAGTAGCTAAATACATACCTAGAAATCGGGAATTATTTATTTATGTCGCATCCACGAATGGCCACCACGATGGGCAGTTTATAATTTAAAATAGTGAGATGGTGAAAGGGTTAAGCCATAAGACGAAAAGTGGTGAACCAAGGGGCAAAGCATAGGGGGAAGTACAACAAGAGTTGGATAACAAAGCTAACCCACCAGCCACCACATTATCTTGTGAGCCTAAGATATAGAGATGAACAACTGAGGTTTGTCCAAAAATATCAAACCGAAAATGCGCGCGTCAATTTTGGCATAAGTGTTTCACCGTTGCCAAGTGTAAAGGCCAAAAGTCGACAAACAGCAACGGTTGCATCAAAGAAAGTTTGTAACTGGAAATTTTTGTCTGGAAAACCAATAGGCAAGAGCTTTTTACCATTGTCTTAAGAAAAAGAAGGGAGTCCCCAAAATCATACTCGAATTTTCCTTCAGCCTCCAAAATGGCACTTGAAAATGCTCTTGCAGCTCAGGCCCCATTTTAGCCAAAGAATAAGGAAGGTACTCACCTCGAGTGCAATGAGAAAGAGGATGTACTGGTGAACTGTAAGTCCAGGAAAGAGCGCTTGAATACTGCCGGACACTCCAATAAGACCGATGTTTACTGCGATCGCCACGTAACTCATTATTTCAAAAGCTCTCTAGAAGCAATGGTAACAAAAAAGTCCAAGCTTTACGAGGTTCAAGTATAAATGGAGCAATTCCAAAATTCAGCGTAACAACAGTTTAATTCTAAAATAGATGCACTTTAAAGTAGTAGGTGTTAAGGAAACCAATTCACTCAACATTAATGCTTAAATGTAAATATTTCCATCCTTAATGCATTGCAGAGAGGTGTTTGCAACGGAGCAGTGCAAGTCTACCTAACGGTGTGAATCAGTGGGGCACAGTAGCCGCGTGGGCGAAAGCGTTCACTCAGTCCAATCGTGAGGCAACCGGAACCCAGAAAACAGAAGCATTGAAGGTTACCTTGGTTCCCCAAAGCATTAAACAAACGGACAGAAACAACATGGATGAAGCCAACAGTGCAGATCGTGTGATCCAAGCATTTCTCCTTGACTTCGTGATAAACAAAAAAGTGTAGAACCCGTACGTTTTGTGTTTAATAGTCAGGCTGAACATTTGATGTGTCTGCCACGGTTGCTTAAAGACGCACATGCAATTGCAATGCCTTTGGAATTAAAAATGAAATGTACTGGGAAACTATCACGAACAGGGCCAAAACCCGGAGACAGACTTACCACAAGAGAGAGATTAAAATGAAAGTAAATTACTGCACCCATCATCGAAAACTAGAGTTATGCCAACGGGGTGTGGTGAAAGCGAGTACACTTTGTCATTGAGAGATCACGCCTAGCAATAGGACGCAAAGGATAGGAAAAAACACATCCGTTTGGGATAATTTTAGTGATAGTTATGGTTGACAAAAAAATGGAGGATAATAGTAATCATGAGCATACCTCCCAGACACCAATTCCATGAGCAGTTTCGGAGAAAGGTCTCTGAAAGTTGGTGAGAAGCTTAAATGCATCGCTGCGTATTTCGAGGATATTATTGAGAAAGGCCAAAAGTCCACAGATGGGAAAAACACAGGTGAACATGCTGACGAAGCCAAACTGAATGAACATCTCCAAATAGTCGTTTGTGGCATCATCGTACTACAAGATGGAAAAGATTTCATGCCACATGTGGAAGAAGACAGGAAATAAAGGCTATGCAAGGTGTTACACCTTAGGCATTATCTCCTCCTGCTCAGCCCGAGTAATCTTGACCATAGTGGGCTTTTTGGAGGATGAGTTGTCTTCGGAAACTTCCGTGCCAGAAGTGGATAACTCTCCCTTCTTCAACGTTGGAAAACCGTCAGCACGAAGGGAGAGATAAACTTGACGAATACGAGTTTGACCTAAGGGAAGGAAGACCTCCTTCAAATTGTCGGCAATTTGGCGCGTCACAAGAATTGTCACAAGATGCTACAAAGGTGAAATGCAAATTTAGAGACAGTCTCATCAATGCATTAGAGAAGGCCTTGACAATGATAAGT